TCCTTCTCCTTGCTTGAAGTCTTGGCATTGATTGTGATATTGTATGTTATTTAACTGCTAACAATATGCTGTCCATCCTGAATATATTCTGCAGTTTATGATAAGGTGATCGATTTATATAAGTGTCTAAGACACTTGTTTCTATTTCCTATTTTGTACCATCTGTTTTGTTACAACATCTATTATATATATATATATATATATATATATAATTGAAATACTTGAATAAAAGAAAGTTTAAACTAAAATTGGAACACGACAACTGAATTCAACCGTTTCAAGCACTCTAGTAATATACCCAGAGTACTACTTGTCCTTGTATTGGCCTCTTGTAAGATACAAATCTGTATATAGAGACCACCCTTTGGGTGCAGCAATCGTGATCACTTGGTGAGGGTTAGGCTTTATAATAGAGTAGGTAAATTAGAAAGGTTGTGCTGAATAAAAATCAATTAAAGTTTTAGGAATAAACACTCTATTTAATCATAGTTGAGTATACATAATCTCTTTTGAAAACAATATATATAACCCTTTAAAGAATATATACAAATAAGCACAATTATAATAGGTTGTCAACGGTTATGCATAATTGTAAGGTAATACTATATAAACATATTGTCCATTGTTAAAACTTTTGTCCATTGTCATTGGCTGTATTTTCTTTTAGTGAGGGTATATTTATGATGACTGAAAGCTTTTGTAATTGTGCAGTCAAAACCATCAGAAATTACCTAAGGACATACAGGGTTTGTAAGATACAATCAAATCTGTGTTAAGAGCACATCATTTGGTTACTGCACATGTGGTTTCTTGGTGGAGAGTGTTGTTTTTTTATAAAAGAGTAAGGTTGTCAACGGCTAGTCGGTTAACAGGTAAATCGGTCGAAAGACCACGAAACGGATACCAAAATCAATAACTGAGTAGTCGAAAATGTATTTAACCCTTTCGGAAGCCCCATGTTTCCCTGCCTTAGACATGCAAATTATCTATAGATGCGACCAAAATCGGATATATTTGTAATAAAAACAGTGTTTAGGGATGACATGTTAGTGTTGTTTTTGTACTCTATTGTAACTTTTGTCAAAGAGATGTCGCCAACATCATAAACAATCTTAGAGATAGAACGCACTTTTACATGCGAGATGTAAATATGATCTGAAGAGTACACACCTGAAAGAACAATTAGCTGCGATAACGTATAATGTTTTTATATATTACGTCGTCAGAGCTACGAAGCGGTCCTATGCCAACTAATGGAGCAAAATCAAAAGTGTTAATCTGTAAGATTGCATATAATCCACGGTTCATGTAAAATGAGTAAAATGTTATCAAAATAATGCATAATTGTTAAAAAAAGAGTCTTAACTAATAAAAAAAAGCTTTTAAGAAATTAGCAAAGATCGTCTGGGGGGAAAATAGAAACTAATGCTATGAGAGATCACGCGTGATGTTATCTCAATTATCCTTACTATATGGCCTGCATGGCCAAATATAGTATACCTACTGATGTCGCCATGTTTACTACAATTTCAATATTGGGTCATGACACCCATATATAGACGTCTGACCTATATCGGAAGAGAGACGAAGGCTGTCAATTCAGATTTCGATTCCTCTTGCGACATTAACTTAATAATTTAACAACATTTAAGGCAGAGTTTAACTTGAAGTTGGATATCAACAGAAATAGTTCATATTACAAACCTATTTATGGATGCGGACCAATGTGCTGTCAATTAATTCTAAAATCTTCTCCATTACAAGGCATGAAATCGATTTAATACCTAGCCGGGGCAAAGGAGGCCGGGTATTTATATAAGTACTAAGAACAATGTAACCGCATATGATATCGAGTACCGATAACTGTAATTGAATCCCGTCTTACTGCATTCCGACATTTGTTGTCCATGAAATATACTTACTGAGATTACATGCAACTATTTCTTGCGGTTAGCTTGAAATACACGAGTAAACTTTCCTGCTAATTAATATATACATGTATGTTTGTGGTATAAATACTTTTGGATAGAACAATTAATGTGTTTGTTGCTGTTTATTATTTGATTACCGAAGAAGCGACCGATTAACCGGTTACTGACGCGGAAGATTGTTCGGGTAACCGGTTACTGGCTCGGAAGATTGTTCGGGTAACCGGTTACCACAATAAGACTGGTTTGACAACCCTATAAAAGAGAAAATATTGAATTTCTTGTTGAATAACAAATCAACAAAAGTTTAAAGCATCAACTCTGTATTTTATTTAACCATAGATGTGTGTATATCACATTTTAGTTAACATCATAATCTCTTAAGAAAAATCTATAATATGATTTTTAAAGAAGATAATTTTTATATATACAAAATAAGCACAATTATAATATGCACTACAATGTATAAGAAGTATGATTGAAGCTTAAAAAATCAAAAGCTCAATTTTGAAAAATAGGTTTATTACCATTGCCAAGAATACCTCGGAAAGAATAAACTGATTTTGTCCCTATTGAAAATATTTCGGTCACAACTTGAAATCAGTTGAGATCCCCATCCCGTAACCATATATACAATTGCTGGGCATATAGAGACTAATACATTAATGCTATAAGCGTCGACCACGGGTCTTGCCATATGCTTAGGGACATAGTTCCTAGGTCATAACTTGGAAACAGTTGAGATCCCCAACCTTTAACCATTTTAACAATTGCAGGGATGAACACAACTATGCTACCAGGATCGGCCTTGGGGACTACTCCCCCGTCGATAATTACTCGCTGGTGCATAACATGGAAACATTTAAGATCCCCACCCTATTACAAAACAATTTTCAAACATGAAGATTTGGATACAAATATCGTACCAGGATTGCCCAAGGGGACTGACCGTATCTCTAGGATCCTATTTGCCGTACTATACTTTAATTGAGAATCTTTTGCCATGCTTGCTTTACTTAGTTACTATTGTAAGAAAATGGTGGACATGTTAGAGAAGGAAGAATTTTATAAATCTATTGAATCAAGTGCTGATGATGTTACCTATAAGCGTTTCAATGATTTAGTCATGAAGTACAAGAAAGGGATTTTTGATAAAGAGGTGGAATATTTAACATCTGATGGTTATAAAACAAGCTGCTTTTATGGTTTGCCTAAAATACACAAAAGTACTATCATAGCTGAAGCTATTAAACAACAGAAAAGCGAGTATGTGATTATTGAAAATCCAGATGATTTGACATTTCGACCAATAGTAGGCGGACCTAACAGTGTTACCCAACGGCTTAGTCATTTTATTGACCTTATTTTGAAGCCACTTTGTTTTTCAGTGAGGAGTTTTATAAAAGACGATTTTGATTTTCTTAAACATTTGCCAAAATCTGTTCCTCGCAATTCTACATTTGTGTCTTTTGACGTCGTCAGCTTATATACAAATATTCCACATGATTTAGGAATCGAAGCTATAACGTATTGGCTTAAGAAACATCCAGATAAGATTGATAACGTTTTGTTCATGAAAGGTATTTTGAAAAGAAATGTCTTTTATTTTGATGGCAATCACTACCAACAAATAAAGGGAACGGCCATGGGTACAAAAATGGCACCAACCTATGCAACACTTGTGTTAGGTTATTTGGAAGAGAAACTCTACAACAATATAGAATGTAAATATGGGAAAGTGTTTTCAGAATATGTACAAAATATTTGTTTTAGATTTTTAGATGATTGTTTTCTTGTATGGCCTTCTGATATGTGTATTGACAAATTAAGTGAGGAAATGAATTCTCTACATCCGGCTATACGGTACACAATGGAAATGAATGAACATGTTTTACCCTTTTTGGATGTTTAAGTTAAATTAGAAAATAATAATATTGCAACTGATTTGTATTCAAAGCCTACTGATGCTCATAATTATTTAGATTTTTTATTCAAAACATTCTATACATATTGAAATTAATATACCTTTTAATCTCGCATCTAGAACTGTGACAATTGTAAGTGATCCCAATATGCTGGATGTGCGACTTAAAGAACTAATGTTTTTCCTGAAGTCGCAGCATTATCCGGACGAGATTATTCGTAGTGGTGTAAATAGAGCTATAGAGAAGGGACCTTTTACATCCCGTGTAGAAGCCAACGATGACCAAGGAATTATTCCTTTTGTATTTACATACATGTAATTTGCCCAGATGTGGAACATATAAAATAATTATTGAAGGTTCTACTTTTGTTTTCAAAAATGGATTAAAATCACTGTACGTTCTAGTATGAATTGTAAGTCAAAGAATGTTATATATGCTATAGTTTGAGTTAAATGTTTGGAATTTTATATTGGCCAATTTGGGCGTGAACTACGTCAAAGAATGACTCTTCACAAAAAACAAACAATCCATGATGACCTTAGATTTTTTACAAATGAACAAACATATTCATAACTGTGCTAACAATAACTTCAAAGAGTTCCCTATTTACCAAATGCATTCATCTGATGTGATAAAGAGGGAAGTTAAGGAGTCGGAGTTAATGAAGCTGTTGAAACCCAGTCTGAATAGTTCACATTAAATTCAACGTGTCATGCTTTAAGCAATTGCTGTGCTTTAAATATTATTGTTCATATTTTATTGTTGCCGTAAATGAAACAATTTGTATCTCCCGTATTTTTCATTGTTGGTAAGATCATAAAGTTATGCATTTGTCTAAGTATTGTAACGTCACAATTAAGCTTGTATTGCTGTTAACGTCATGGATTTATGTGTATGCCTTCTGTGACGTCATAATGACTCTGCATTATTGATGACGTCATACTTTCTTGTGTAAACAACTATGACCTCACAATGCCTGTTTTCAAAATATTCAACCCGAGAAAGGCCAAGAGACGCTTTCTCTGTCTTTTGTTTTATTTTGTATATATATATATGTATATACATATTTATGGCTGGGGAAATAACATATTTGAAAAATCACAGGGGTCAGACATTGCTTCTATTGGTAATAAAACTCAGATCAAAAGATTGCATCGTTACAGCTTACAAAGTAGCTGTAACATTATATTTCTATAAAACATATACCTGCTTTAATTCAAATACAGAAATCACATGATCCCAGCAATTTAGTTCTGCTAAATTAAATATCTTTGGGTTAGAAAGAATCATAAGCACGTTTATTGGAAAAAACAAAACATTATTGATTTTGTCTGATAGTTTTGTAATCGGTTGCCTATATTTCCTACATTACTCAATCAGCGAATAAAATCACAATCAGAAACTATTAGGTGATGTAAAACTGTATTGGATTTAGCTGCATCATATTGACACTTAAAAGCCTAACTTCTATCATCGTATCACCGTTAGTTTTTATGGTAATAAAATAACACATGGCTGTTCGTCCCGTTCGTCCGGTGTGTCCGGTTTGTCCAGATGTAGTATTTTGACATTTTCAAACCAAAACACTGTCCACAGGTCATCATCCCTGTCTACACCAACAGCCCTGTTACAGTAGCTATCAGTGTGTATGATCCTGAGGAACTCGCCAAGCCCACTGATGAGTAGGACACGGTTGTTGAAACAGTCCGCTATGACGAGATTACCCTTACTGTCATACACTACATCATAGGGATAAAATGGTCCACCTCCTGGTTGATATGTATGTGGGACTTCACCATCATATTCAAATAGTTCCTTGAAATCTGTGTCCATGACAACAACATGATGTTTCCCATCATCATCAACATCATCATCATCATCATCATCATCTTTAATATCCCATTCAACTACTGCGACATTGTGAGTGACAGGACACTCTGAGATCCTCCATGGTATACAAACTAATGGATTTTCAGTCCGAGCAGTCGATGTACTAAGTACCAATTCACCTTCAGTGGTAAATTTTGAGATGTGTTTGGCCATCCCCACAATGACATGGTTACTAGCTGTTATACAGATATTCAGTGCTTCCTCCCTGATGCTGAATCTGTGTACTAGTCGTCCTGACACGAGCTCTGTGATGTTGTTTTTCTGGTCACAGATCCACAGTGTGTTGGTTGTGGATGACAGACTTATGTCCATGATATCAGTATTGTGTTCCACCTCCTGTATTACGTTGCCCTTCCTGTCCAGGAGAGTTAAGGTTTTACTGTAACTGCTTGTCCACACCTGACCTTCTGTGGTGGGACATATAGAAGTAATATGAAATGAAGAATACCACTCCTCTAACACCTTGGCTCTTGGCATCAAGCTATGTACTGGAAACACGAACAATGGGTGTGTTCTTTTTGATCTCTGTGGTGTACTTGGTCTCACTTTTCCCAAGGCTTGTTCCAACTGACTCTGGGGATTTCTGTTTGGCGTGAAGCTAGCGGTACAAAGGGTAAGTTTTACAGGGAGTGTGACAGGAGATTGAATATCGCATTCTATCTTGTAGATTTGTATGTCAGAGCCACGCTGAAGTACTACCCTACATTCCTGTACTTGTTGTTTTAGCTGAGTGCTGTATATTTCCAGGTCCTGTTTGTAGGTTTGTAGTAGCTTGGTGTTATCCTCCTCCATTTGTTGATAGAGACACAGAGTCTGAGCTGTTAACAAGTCCAGCTCCTGTTTAAATCTGTTTGTTTGTGTCTTTAACTGTTGGGAAAGTTTTTCAAAGTGGCTAACATTGTCCTTTAGTTGTGTATCAGTAGCAGTGATGTACTGGTCGATTTCTACGAGGTCAACATTCTCGATTTTGTCTATGAAGTTTTGAATGTCTTCTTTCTTTTTTGGAGTAATTTCACTAAGGTCACACAAATGGTGTTTCTTATGTATAGTAGATAGGCACTTGGTACAAGCTAGTTCGTGACATTCTTCACAGTAAAGGTCAAGCTGTTTCCCGTTGTGGTGAATGCAGGTAGTTTGACCTTTGACACGGATAGGGATCTGATCTTTGTACAAGGACGAGTCCATTTTGATAAAAAAAAAATGTAAAACCGTTGAAGATTATCGACTTAAGAAAGTTGATTTCACATTGAAACGGTATGATATATAGCCGTTACCTATATATTGTATACTAGTGATTAAAACAGTCACAAAGGAAAGTGTGTTCCGACAGCGGGAAATGGAATCATCAGTCAATCTCCGTGTTCACTAAATCAGTAGTACTTCAATAATGTCCTGAATAATTGTGTTGAAGAAACTATCATTGGAATAAAATAGTCACACATACTCTCACCTTGTTTCCAATGTCAGACCGTCGGCATACAAAGACTTGTCCAACTCAGAGACGTGTAGTCCAGGTAGAATTTACCACAACATATAACTAAGTGTCTATATTCCTGGTAATGGCTGTCCTCTACAACTCTTAAGATCCGGCCAGAAATGGCGGCTTAATCATATACCCGGCCAAACTAAAGGATGGCATTATAATCAATCCAGCCCTCGATGCGCATGACGATAGGGGTCTGATTGTCTTCCTGGTTAGAAATACGTGTGGCGTAACGGGTGGTTTAATCGATCGTTCTATATACGTTTGCCGTTAATATAACTTCTCGGTTGCGCGACATTGCCGCAGACCTGCAGACGTTGATCTGCTGACAGGGGTTTTAAGTTCTATTATATTCTAATTCGCTTCCCTCAAACGAACATAAATTATTCATCATATAAAACTCCAACTCTTTCCCGGGAGTTCGTCCGCCTAGCAACGAGGACGTACAGAAACAAAGAACGGGCAAAATCAGATTAATAAATTTAATTAATGTAACAAATCGTTTCGAGACAACAATAATGCAACATCATTACAAAATAACATTACAACCCTAGATTTTTTGATACTGATAGCTTAGACTCAAGCTTGTCCTTAACGTAACCATCTTTAGCGGTTTCTGGTCTCCAGCGACCATGAGCTTCATTTAAAATATCATTTGAATGTTCAAACAGAAAGAGAAAAATTACTATATTAACAGGTAAAACAATAGACATATATATATCTAGATGAAATGTTTTCAATAATACTGATGCCGGAATACGTACAATGTCGCTATATAAACATCTGTACACCATAGGCCAAGTGACCTTTACAATGGCATTCGGTACATGATGTAGCTTACGTATAGACCACGTGGTCTCTATTATACATGTAAATGATACCAAAAACATCTGTTTTGCCAAGTGGCAATATACAATTAGGTCAAGTGGCCTTATATAATGTTGCGAAAACTTACATGATGTCAAAACATCTCTTTTAGCCAAGTGGCGATATACAATTAGGCCCAGTGGCGTTATATACAAATGTAATGCTACGAAAACCTCGAGTCGGTCTCAGCCAAGTAATAACAATGAATTGCACTAAAACACACGTGCCATTGAAATGTACGCATGACTTAATATATTTACAACTCAGTCTCACGCATGTGGGAGAAAGTGGGCGTGTATTACATCAGTATTTCTCCAAAAATCAACACACCATTTCAATCGGCCTTTGACCCCAGCATCGTTAAAATGGTTTTCAGATATTTCATAATGTGCCTCAAAGACACCAATTTCAAAAGTATCATCAGAGTACTTAACTTCATTTTCCGGCTGAATCCGACAGTTTTGGGCAGTTCGTTCTCCAGTGACCGACTCCTCCGCAGGCGTGGCACAAATCATTGGGGCCGGGAGTCCCACGGCCCCTCCCGCCGAATTGAGGCCAGAATCCTCCTCGTTGAAAACGACCTGAGGCCGGGCGCACTTCTCTTTCTTTTTTCAAACGTTTGAAGGAGTTAGCGGACAAGTCATGTTCCTCCCTTATATCGTCCCGTAGACCTTTCAATTTTGCGTCAAGGGAGGTGGTAAATAAGTCCAAAGCCTGGAAGGCGTCGTTATTAGAACTAACTGGTTTTGGGGCCGGAACACTATCCGTAGGACCAATACTATCCCCCTCGGTATTTAACTCGGTCATATTATCGATAACAAGTACGTCCGTACTTATTGACAGCTAGGCGAACACAGAAAACTGTACGTGTAGCTACTGTCCCAAGCATACCTGTATCACGTGCACTAGTAGCTGCACGTGCGCGACAAGACACGGACATCCCGTCCACTGGTTTACATAACAATGATAAATATATTTGTCTGTTGTATACGGTATAGAAGGTAGCAGCGTAGATATATAGCCACAATATAGATACCTGTCGCGAACAACGAAATACATTTAATAATGCACGTTTTTTTCTCACTGCGACATGTACCCACGATTCTACTTTAGACAACAGTGGTCAGTAAATGATTATACAGCTTACACACGTTTTGATGTCCAAGTGTATATATATAAATATTAATAATGTAAACATAACTATAGTGTCGCAAGAGTCCAATAAGCTTGACCAACTGTCAAATATGTTACCTGCCTGTTTTATATGTGCTTCACTTATTGGACAGTTGTGACATCTCATGTGATTGATGGGCGGAGCCAAATGGGAATTTAGCTATATCTTATAAACAACCAATGCATTCTTAATTCAATATTTAATCAACATCTTACACATTCACAAACATCCTTAAACTTTCAGCACAAAGGACATGTTGCCTAATGACACACTTATTTCTCTGCTGTTTGAAGCATTCTCTCATTCAACTAGTGACGGTACCGATGCCGTTGCCGTTGTCGCCTTTGTGTTTTTGTGTCCTTGGATGACATTACTTACAATGAGCATCTGTTCTTTATTGGTGCATTTGTAAGAACGAACTGCAGAAGATCGTTGGCCTGTTTTCTCAACAACTGGTTGCTCGTCCATCCCAGCGATTTACAATCAAGTTGCTGCTGTTGCTCGTAATGAGTGATTTGTAAAGAATCCCGAAAATCCTGCTGATTTAACAACCTGGCGACAGTTTGCTGTAACTGGTGTGCACTATAGGAGAGACAGCATACTATACATCATCTGTAGGGAACTTCCTCGGCCGAAGATATAGTGCATCACATTTTCCATTTCCGTAAAAAATAACAAAAATCATTAACAAATAAAGGATAATTAGCGAGCCCTGCCAATAACAATTACGTTTATTAACACAAAAGTAAAGTTTGTTTAGTTGAAATTTAAACAGGTGTCTAAAATGACCTGTCACTAGTAATTTATCTTTTATCCCCCCGCCCTTCCTTACCACCTAAGTTTAATTTACATGTCAGCACATAGCTTTATTCATCTTACAATTGTCATTATACATCATTAACATTAGTTAATTAGATGCAATTGTACCTTAAACTGATAGATTTTCTGTAGATTTTCACTGCATATCTGTCTGTGTTAGTGACATTTTCATAGGCCCTGGTAACCTTCGGTTTATTTTTGCGATGCAAAATCCCTCTGGAATTCGTTTTTGAGAAATCTGCAGTATATGCCAGATATATATAGCCTTCAGGGTCAACTCGATCCAAACGATTATCAGAATCACTGAAAGGAGTATAGACCAAACACAATATACAAATAAGATCGTGTTAAGTTCATCGCGTCATTTGACTCATACAGTGCAGACTGGTGCTGAGTTGGGATGACAACAAAACAGTTTTTACTGAGAGAGAGGTTTGTTATGAACGAACTAGAATCACACAATTTGCGTACGTACACACTTCGGATGTTTACACCTCTCGTTTTACGTCAGAACGATATATCCGTCTTTGTATTCTGCACTACGTCTCTTACAAGTAACAACTGTATGGTCTTCAGCTGTTACAAGAACAACTACAGTTTTGTATAACCACATATAGGTATGATATGAAACCCCTGTGTCGTGTCGTGTATCTTTTTAAAAGATGTTTCTTATTTTGATAGGAGTTTAAATCAACTTCCGGTTGGTATGCCCCTCCTCAGTGATCGTACATGTATATGGGGTGGTATTTTTACCGATCAGGGAAATATGAGGCGTTTTAGTAATTTATATCAACTTTCGGTGAAAAAGTCTCCCTAGTGATGGTATAAGCGTGTATAACATCACCGGACGTGTATGCAATCATTGGGGATGGCATTTACCAAAAGTTAATTTATACCCCTAAAACGTCTAATATTACCCTAGCCTGAACACGTCAGTTTTGGTCCAAGTATCGCCAAACTGTTACAATGTCTCAGGTTCTGTGTCCTAACCTATACGATTCCCGGGCGTAAACAAATGCTAACATGAACAACTAGAGTCATCGATTTTCTCACTACATTAATGCATAACTCTGTTTTCAAAGTTTGTGCAATCATATTCTCGATGTTGACGTCATTCTCGAGCGAACACCTTTTGCTTTACAGTCATGTTGGCTGGTAATTTTACACAATATAGGTTTCCCGACATAATTTACAAACCACCGAAAATTGAGAAGATGGGAAACACCAACATAGTCAGAACTCCGACAGTGCTATCTGTATAACTAAATCTTGCATGCACAACTTTACATATAGTTCAGTCCGCGCGCGTCGGAAAATAGCATGGAAATTAGAAATTGTGACACCTTTGAAAATAATTCTTTGTCCGACCTGGGTTGGGGTTGCTTACATTATCTATTTTTCCTGTTTGATTTCTTTAATAAAAGAAAGAATTGTGCATCATCTGATTTTCTCTCAACATATATTTTCTATGAGATGTACATGTATATTGTACAGCAGCAGATAAGATTCATTTAAAAAAAATCGTATTAACAAAATAAATACGTTAGTTTTCTCGGTAGTATAACAAAGTTTCTTCGTATTTGCGCAGGTACCATTTTATCGTTTTATTTTTCCAAAGATTTTTCATAAGAAAGATACAGTATTTTCACATTCACACTCTCATACACAGGTTTCCACACCTAACATCACTCATCATCATCATCATCACCATCATCATCATCACCATCATATCATCATCATCACCATCATCATCATACAATGAGTGTCATCGACAGCACACCTCACAATAGATGTTATCAGTGTTATTCATAATAATATCAACCTAATATATAACAGTTTATTTCATTATCAACTCATTACTATATTTTTTTCATTAGAACCAAGCAATATAGATTCTAAATAATAAAAGTGGTAAACCTCCACCTGTACGAACAAGGAAAACAATGTTAAAAACAAAACTTCTGTTTTGCGTGTTATCTTTCCCCGTAATATTGCTAGTGCTATGTTACGATTCGGGAGAGGGTGTAAAGGATGTTACTTTTGTTGCATTTTCGACAATCTAATTTTGTGATTTTAATCAGTAAAACATCAATTAAGCTGTCTACGAACATGTCTTAATTCTGAACTTAATACCAAAACATGCATATGCACGTGTATCGTCGATAGCAGACTGCATGATCTGTTACAATGTAACACTCCTGTTTATCATCAATCGTGTTTATATCATTAAAACTACATGTATTATCATGAAACAGCTTATACCACAGAAAACTGCATGGGGACAGATGGAGTAAAAACAAGTTTATCCATGCAGTTATACGTTCAGGGCACTCTTTCTTGTATCTTGTATGAAAATATGTTGATATCTAGAGGATCAAAGATTTAATAAAATATCGGCATTTTGAATAGTTTTTATATTATTACAATTTAGAATAAACCTTATAATTGATTATTGTAAAATCAGCATGTTTGTGATGGAGAACTCTAATTATTAATTATTGAAAGTTTCAATTGTTATATAAACCAGGGATGGTAGTGGACTACACATCCCTGCTATTGCCAATTTGCGTTATTTCTTTCTTAAACAATGTCAAGTCAAACAGTTTGAGTTAACCTCCTCCTCACAGTCACATTTAGAAAATAATGTTTGAAATTATTGTATAATTTTATAAAAAATATAAACGATCGCGTTAATGAGATATTAAAATATCTCTATATGCCTGGTAAGGGTTTTGGGACGGGAGCGGGAGCGGCGTACAAGATTTACCTACCACCCATGCATGTGTACTGAACGTCACGCGGTAATCACGTGACATGTCAAGATCATGTGATACCCACTTCAATACAACATGGTGGATCTCAGTAACAGTTATCTCTATTTAGATAGCGAATAAGATATATGAGGTGATGATACACAAACTTACGGACGATAACATTGTTATTGTATTGTTACCTGTTCCATCGTGTACAACAGGATAATGACCGCGATATAATGTATATAAGTACGTGTATGTTATTGTGAACCTCTTCTCCAGAGAAAAGACGTTCCTGGTTGAAAACGAAACTAGAAAAAATGGACGAAAGACGAAGACTACTACAACAGACACCCGTTCCGGTGTCTCCGAACCCCGCTTCTCCGGGAATCGGCGCGAGGGAATGGAAATCTAAACTAGGCAAAGGCACAATACTGTTGACCGTAGTTTTCGAGAGGTTGGTGTTCTATAGTTTGACGGGGAACATGGTATTGTATTTTAACTTAGGACCTTATAACTGGACTGCATATAATGCCTTACTCGCATCATATTTCTTCACCGGAATCTCATTCCTTACTTCGTTCGCCGGTGGATTTCTGGGAGACACCGTACTTGGCCGATACAAGACTCTGATGCTATCTTTCTTTGTTTACTGTGTTGGGTATATTTTCCTCCCTGTTTTATCTTACAATGATTACAAACACACACAGGAGAATACTACCAATTCACGGCATGATAAAACTGAGTCTTTATCACCAGTGTGCTGGCCCTTACTTCAACACAATGGAAATGCACCAAGCAAAGACTCAATGCCAGGACCTTTTAAAGAGCCATGTTCCCTGACAGCCTACCTAGTGTTATTTGTCATTGCTGTGGGCACAGGAATATTCCGCGCAAACATGCCACCATTTGGGGGAGACCAGGCCCAGGTTTGTATTGTTTATAAATATTTACCATCGTATAGCATTGCCACAATATAACCCTACCAAATTCAGTTGGCATTCATGTAGGCTATGAATGCCATGGACCGATAGTTGACGTCATCATTAGAATGATGTCACTATTGTTAGGTTAGATACCCTCCCTGGGCAATGGCTGTTCTATTCATTGAAAAAGCATACACAATAATACATTATTTGAGCTAAATGCTAAATAATTATAAGTGTAATTGAATTGTTCATGAACATGCAGATTCCAAAAATGGTAGATATAAATATTGAACTGCTTTCAGTTGGTATTTATAGGCAATATGAAATGCCAACTGGAGAAAGGCATTCAATGATTATGAGACACACCATTTTTGATTTGCCTCTGTCCATGCATTTGGAATTCATATTGCCTATGAATGCCAACTCAGAAAGCAGCTCAATGCTTAAGTAAACTGATGATAGGATTACATTGAAGGCACCTGTTAGCTTTTCAGTGAGCCACGGTGACATCATGCAGGCATCAGACTCTGTAGCGATAGATACATCCTCCATACTTGTGGGGTTTATACACCCACTAACACTCTCTGCACCACTGGAATTTGTCATAGCATAATTGAGTGCACACTGCTAGCTATTTGATGGAGTCATAGCTGGCAATTATGAAACACTCATCTAAAGTTTGGAGGTCTGGGTTCGAATCCTGGTTTGTTCATGCATTTTTCCTCTTCTGTTTAACAGCGGTGCCTGCAGTGACTAGGAATCAGGAACCTGCATGGGTTGTAAATAGTGTTGTCTTCTTTATGAAGACTCAGAAAAAGTAGAGAGGAATTATGTAGGGAAACTGGACTCGATGTTAATCGCCGCTGACCAGGCATACGCATCTCGATTGGTCATAGTGTCTGTCTAGAGTTTGATGGTCCTGGGCTCAAATCCTGGTATGCTGGCTGTGCATTTTCCCACTCCTTTTCTACACTACATTTTTTTTTTATGCAGACAAGAGGTGACGGACACACTACATTCTTCAACTGGTATTACTGGTCGGTAAACATTGGTTCCCTCTTCGCCTTGTCGGTCATCACCTGGGTCCAGCAGAGACACTCCTTCTTCTTGGGGTACCTCACAGCAGCTGTCTGTCTCGGGGTCGCCTTCCTCTTGTTTCTCACAGGTCAGTCAACCAGTGCTAGCATTCAAGTCAACCACAAAACGATCACATAAAATCTATGTAGCTCATGTAATTAACATAAAATAATGATAATTTATGTATATAATTGAAATTAAGAAAAAAATCTTTCTGACATATATTTTGCATTATTAAGATTTCTCCCACAACCACTTTAGGTTTCCTCACTTGCATCTCATTGGATGAAATTATTTCCCTGATCGTAAACAGGAATAATGTATTCCCAAGAGAAACACATAGTTTTCTAGTTATAATATCTACACGTAGTAGGAGTAAAAGATCCCGAAAGGCGTGATGGTTGATAATGATTTTTATCTAACTCTTGTTGGCTAATTCAAAATTTTTCAAATTGTAAAAGACACTTGGTCAACGTCTTGTATTTATGCAATTTGAAAATGACTCCAACTCAAGTTATTTCCACTGATATATTTAGAGGCTATATCCATGTAGCCAGCTGTATATATATGCACTTGAAGATTTATACTGTGAAAAGTTAAAAAAAATCAGAAACACGTGGGAACAACCCTAATATGTTTTCGTGTATATATATATATATAGTGATAAATAGTTTTAAATACAAGTCCATGTGGCGGTAGAAATATATATAAAACAAAACACGAAGACTAGCTTACTCAATAGCTCTGAAGAGCCCAAAGATGGGCGAAAGCGCTCGCCGATTATACTAGTCTTCGTGTTTTGTTTTATATATATATATATATGGTATTTTGATTACCTTTTAATTGTCAATAATTTTAGGCTCCTGTTCCTACATAAACCGACCTAGGGCTCGCACAGTATTGCAGAATGTGTGTAGTGTCGTCAAAGAAGCCATACATAGAAGGCGCCACCGGAATCCTGAAAGCAGTTTGAGAGCTCACAGTGACAGCACTATTGAGTATGTTTGTAAAATATATAGTACATATAGGTTGTATGAGTAATTATGACAATGTAATCTTAACGTAGGAACTGATTCTGAAGTTGTAAACTAGGCACCCACCACTATGACAGGAGGGGATTATATACAGTAGGTTTGTACGCTGTCATTTAGTCCATCTGTTCTACAAACTGTCTTGGGTGTTATAAATTATGTACATGTGAGTAAAATTTAAACAGAGTTATGACCCTTTGATCACCATGCATCACTTTGTACGGGGCATATTTCTCATATGCTTTTGTCAAAACAATTGCGAAATTTTGCCTATATTAGAGCACTTCTTCAGGTATGGCTAAGAGTCTCTTACTAAACTTGTGTCATACACCTTGGATGACACTTTTTGACACTTTGTTGTAGACACATGTGTGGCAGATTTTATTTGTTCATAGGATTACTGTTGTCTTCTAGCTTTACGCTAAAGGGAAGTTCTGGAAGTTTCCCTGTAGCTTGACCGGTAGAGTGGCGGACTGGGAATTTTAGGGTTGCGGGTTTAATCCCCGATGGAAGCACACTATTTTCTTTCCTGTTAATGGTGTCTGTAGCCCTCCCAGTGGTGACAGGGAGTTTGAACCTGCTTTGTTGTAGTGTTCGAGGGGGAACACATTTAAAAGGGGGGAGTAGTGTGGCAGATTCTAATTGTACATAGTCTAGTTTCATGGGTTCGATTCCCGGTTGAAGCACACTACTCTCTTTTCTGTTACACATATGTATTTCACCTTTAACTTGTTCACCAACTTTCCTGGATATTTATTCACTTTAGAACTTTATTTTCTGAATTGTGAAGAGTTAATAACAATGAATGGCTAGGATATTTCATATAATAGGTATGTCAGCTTTATTTAACTACAAACTACAGTTAAACCCTATGATGGCTGGTGTTCCACACAGAATGAACAAAACAGAAAAATATAGCTGTGGAATTTAGGCGTATTTCCTTATCGGATTGATGTGACACATCAAAAATGTTCAATAACAACTAACTTTTCAACAGGAACTTAAAAACTTTGATATACATTATTCAATTCTTTTGGTTAGGTCGTCAATGAGTGAACAGACAGACAGCATAGAAATCAACCCCAGCAATACACCGGAATGTTGCCTTGACTACGCCAAATTTCAGTATGGTGGTAGCTTCAACAACTCCCAGGTGGAAGATGTCAAGAAATTAGGGAAGATAATCTGTGTCTTCCTTACTCTTGTACCCTATTGGATGGTCTATTTCCAGGTTTGTGTGCTAAAATCTGTGTCTTTAACATGCTTGTTCTCTATTGGTAGGTCTAATTGCGGATTAAACTCAGTACATCCTGTATATATAGGCAATGCCTGAAAAGAGCAAAGGTTTTTGGGGTTGGCAATATTACTACAATACAAACTCTTATAGGGATATTTATATTTTGAATTAATGGCGATATTATTAAGAGCATAGAAAACTGAATATTTATTTAAGTAGAAATTGATGGAATCAACTATGGTGATCAGTATATTTGTCTGTTTTCTTCTCCGCCCTTTAAACCTTTATTCAGATGAAGCTGTGTATACTGGCATGATCCTCCCACCACCATTTAAAACTGTTTCTAGCGACATTTACATTTTATAGATTTCTGATTTTTACAACTGATTCATAGAAGCTAATAAAACAAAAACACTTGTGCACTTTGCATAAATCCTCAAAAGTAGTTTATGTGCTAAAGTGTACACAGTTTTTCAGTATACTGTATAACCCCAAAAATAATCATGTTTATTCCTTATAGTTGAATTAGAAACAAAACAACAGTAAAAAGTGTAATAAATCAATATTCATATTTTTTTTATAAAAACTAAAACTTTGTGGTCATGACACTATGTTGTGCTGTAGTTTCACAACCAAGCCATCTCAGCCAATCAGAAGTTAGAACTGCAAATACTGCACCAAACATTGCAGTATACAACGTCATGAATCTTTGTGCTGTCTTGTTATACAGTATGACCTGTAAAAGTCTATCATTGGAGGAAAAGTTAAAAGTATATTATATTTGCTTTATTTACGACTTGTATATTTGTATATTGCACAAATTGGTATTTCAATTACATATTGAATACTGTATACGATGTATCAATTTTGTATGGTGTTATATTGGTGGATTTGTATGGTGCTATATTTGTAGATTTGTATGGTGCTATATTTGTAGGTTTTGAATAGTGCTATACTTGTAGGTTTGTATGGTGCTATGCTTGTAGGTTTGTATGGTGCTATATTATTAGGTTTGTATGGTGCTACATTTATAGGTTAGGTGCTATATTTGTAGTTTTGTATGGTGCTATATTTGTAGGTTTGTATGGTGCAATATTTGTAGGTTTGTATGGTGCTATATTTGTAGGTTGGTATGGTGCTATATTTGTAGGTATGTATGTTGCTATATTGGTAGATTTGTATGGTGCTATATTTATAGGTTTGTATGGTGCTATATTGGTAGATTTGTATGGTGCTATATTTATAGGTTTGTATGGTGCTATATTTGTAGATTTGTATGGTGCTATATTTATAGGTTTGTATGGTGCTATATTTGTAGGTTTGTATGGTGCTATATTTGTAGGTTTGTATGGTGCAATATTTGTAGGTTTGTATGGTGCTATATTTGTAGGTTGGTATGGTGCTATATTTGTAGGTATGTATGTTGCTATATTTGTAGGTTTGTATGGTGCTATATTTATAGGTTTGTATGGTGCTATATTTGTAGGTTTGTATGGTGCTATATTTATAGGTTTGTATGGTGCTATATTTGTAGGTTTGTATGGTGCTATATTTATAGGTTTGTATGGTGCTATATTTGTAGGTTTGTATGGTGCTATATTTATAGGTTTGTATGGTGCTATATTTGTAGGTTTGTATGGTGCTATATTTGTAGGTTTGTATGGTGCAATATTTGTAGGTTTGTATGGTGCTATATTTGTAGGTTGGTATGGTGCTATATTTGTAGGTATGTATGTTGCTATATTGGTAGATTTGTATGGTGCTATATTTATAGGTTTGTATGGTGCTATATTGGTAGATTTGTATGGTGCTATATTTATAGGTTTGTATGGTGCTATATTTGTAGATTTGTATGGTGCTATATTTATAGGTTTGTATGGTGCTATATTTGTAGATTTGTATGGTGCTATATTTATAGGTTTGTATGGTGCTATATTTGTAGGTTTGTATGGTGCTATATTTATAGGTTTGTATGGTGCTATATTTGTAGGTTTGTATGGTGCTATATTTATAGGTTTGTATGGTGCTATATTTATAGGTTTGTATGGTGCTATATTTGTAGGTTTGTATGGTGCAATATTTGTAGGTTGGTATGGTGCAATATTTGTAGGTTGGTATGGTGCTATATTTTATAGGTTTGTATGGTGCTATATTGGTAGATTTGTATGGTGCTATATTTTTAGGTTTTTATGGTGCTATATTTATAGGTTTGTATGGTGCAATATTTGTAGGTTTGTATGGTGCTATATTTATAGGTTTGTATGGTGCTATATTTGTAGATTTGTATGGTGCTATATTTGTAGGCTTGTATGGTGCTATATTGGTAGATTTGTATGGTGCTATATTTGTAGGCTTGTATGGTGCTATATTGGTAGATTTGTATGGTGCTATATTTGTAGATGCAGACAACCTTCCTGCTGCAGGGCCTACACATGAAACTCAGTTTGAACTCGGCCACCAATTGCAACAAATCTATCTGTCATTCAAATGTCACTCTTCATGAAGCAGTTGGTCAACCCCATGAACACAGTACCCCAGTAAGTAAAATATATTTGTACTAGAATGTGAAACTGCATTTAACTAAAATCAAAGGTGAAAAAAAAATCATAAAAATCATCCAATCTCAACAGCAGGGGTCAATTTGCAGCCAATTATTCCAGTTATAGTGAACTAGCTTTATTACTGGAGAGGTGCCCCTAGTATCACATTATCTTATGGTTGTCTGAAACACATGATATTGAAACATTTTGTGTGTGTATTTATATATCAGGTGACTAGGCCAAATTTAGGTAACAGTGTTAAAGCAACACTGAACATTTTGGAACTCTTCAATGTCTGCTCAGGTTGTCAATAGAAACGAGAAACATTGACAAATGAAAAAAGTCGGCCGTAATTCTTAACTTTGTTACAAGTCATTAGTTATCACTCCTTATCACATCAAACTCATCATTATAAAATGAACATGTGAAAGAAAAATACAAAATGGAGAGGACATGTCAGCAGGTGCAGATATAGCCTCCAACACTGTCAACCACGTGATGTCATGTGAATGTATACTCTGCAAGGATGTATCTTTTTATGAATACGCTAATGCAGGTGACTTGGGCACAGCATCAAGCCCCACGAGCAACATTAAGCAACCATCGTCATAGACACATGTATAGTCAATGCTAACACAAAATTATTCCCATACGTTTTGGCAATATGATTCCTTCATTTAGCTTTTGGTTTTGATGTTGTATACAAAAATGTGTTCTGCCTTTTATTATCAGATTGTTGCGGCCTGGTTTTCTCTGTTTGACGTCGTGTTTGTAATTCTGCTGATCCCCCTTGTCGATCGAGTGCTCTACCCCTACCTGGCCCGCCGGGGGCGCCCCATCACCATGGTGACAAGAATCTCCATCGGCATGGTCTTTGCTTGTCTTGCAGTACTGCTAGCGGGAGTTGTAGAGAACCAGCGCCTCAAACATATCTACCTGTGTGATCATGACGGCCAACAGTTCTGTACAAACTTTACAATTCAACAAAAAATTGGTAAGTTATGTATATATAGGATCTTACATGAGTTTCTATTGCATATAAGATTTACCAAACCAATCTAAGAATTTTACAATTTAGCGAGCCTCTGGCGAGCTTAAATGAAAAACTCATGACGAGTTTCATAAATTTCATATGAAATGAAAACTAGTGTAAGATCCTTTTCATCACATAATCAAGATTTGTGGCATTTATTTGTGTAAAACAACAATTTTCATGCAACCTTGAAATGTAAAAAGCCGTCATTTTGACTCCAGTGCGTAAGTCTGTGACGTCATTTAATTGTCCTAGGCGTGATGTCACAATTGAAACAATTGAAACTTACAACCAATCACAGGGCTGATAGGTCATATTACATGGATTAATACGCAAAAGAATATAACATGGGTATATTCAGTCGATGACACAGTACATTATGTGATAAAATTACATACTATTCAGTTTTGTCCTGTTTTTTTGTGATGATGTAGAGAAGAAAACATTTCATAAAATGTCCTGCATTCGTGGATAACTTCATCCTCCATATCCAGGGCCGGGGTTACGCTCACTTTCGCTCTCTGCAACCTTGAAATATGTCTTAGCAAAATTGAAGGCACGAAGATAGCTGTTTGATTGGTCTCAGGAAAAAACCCCTGATCAATCGCTACACTGATACCTGTCCTTTCAAGATTACAAAGGAGAGACGCCCGACTTCAAAGCCTGTCAATTCTTACTGTTACGCGACCGTGACCGAGAGATTCTTTTGATGTACATCAAAGGATCGAACTAGTCTTCTTGTCTCATCAACAAGGTGGCGCACACTGAGCCTTCGATTTTGCTATGACATATTTCCAGGGGTGCAGAGAGCGAAAGTGTCGGGTGTAACCCCTGGATATTGAGGATGGGGTTACTTGTGTCCCATCAGTTTTTAGGAGGAAGTGTTAAGTTGTTTTGATAGTTGATTATACATGTAATCCAAAAGTTGATTGGTTACAGACTTACTACAATCAGTTTATTGTGAAATTCGAAAATCCTTTTTAATCAGTTAAAATTATTGCATGTTGTTTTCCTTTAAACTTCTGTCTGTCAATCATCCATGTAAAGTACACTGTCTGTCAATCATCCTTGTAAAGTACACTGTCTGTCAATCATCTATGTAAAGTACAATGTCTGTCAATCATCCATGTAAAGTACAATGTCTGCCAATCATCTATGTAAAGTACACTGTCTGTCAATCATCCATGTAAAGTACACTGTCTGTCAATCATCCATGTAAAGTACACTGTCTGTCAATCATCCATGTAAAGTACACTGTCTGTCAATCATCCATGTAAAGTACACTGTCTGTCAATCATCCATGTAAAGTACACTGTCTGTCAATCATCCATGTAAAGTACACTGTCTGTCAATCATCCATGTAAAGTACACTGTCTGTCAATCATCCATGTAAAGTACACTGTCTGTCAATCATCCATGTAAAGTACACTGTCTGTCAATCATCCATGTAAAGTACACTGTCTGTCAATCATCCATGTAAAGTACACTGTCTGTCAATCATCCATGTAAAGTACACTGTCTGTCAATCATCCATGTAAAGTACACTGTCTGTCAATCATCCATGTAAAGTACACTGTCTGTCAATCATCCATGTAAAGTACACTGTCTGTCAATCATCCATGTAAAGTACACTGTCTGTCAATCATCCATGTAAAGTACACTGTCTGTCAATCATCCATGTAAAGTACACTGTCTGTCAATCATCCATGTAAAGTACACTGTCTGTCAATCATCCATGTAAAGTACACTGTCTGTCAATCATCCATGTAAAGTACACTGTCTGTCAATCATCCATGTAAAGTACACTGTCTGTCAATCATCCATGTAAAGTACACTGTCTGTCAATCATCCATGTAAAGTACACTGTCTGTCAATCATCCATGTAAAGTACACTGTCTGTCAATCATCCATGTAAAGTACACTGTCTGTCAATCATCCATGTAAAGTACACTGTCTGTCAATCATCCATGTAAAGTACACTGTCTGTCAATCATCCATGTAAAGTACACTGTCTGTCAATCATCCATGTAAAGTACACTGTCTGTCAATCATCCATGTAAAGTACACTGTCTGTCAATCATCCATGTAAAGTACACTGTCTGTCAATCATCCATGTAAAGTACACTGTCTGTCAATCATCCATGTAAAGTACACTGTCTGTCAATCATCCATGTAAAGTACACTGTCTGTCAATCATCCATGTAAAGTACACTGTCTGTCAATCATCCATGTAAAGTACACTGTCTGTCAATCATCCATGTAAAGTACACTGTCTGTCAATCATCCATGTAAAGTACACTGTCTGTCAATCATCCATGTAAAGTACACTGTCTGTCAATCATCCATGTAAAGTACACTGTCTGTCAATCATCCATGTAAAGTACACTGTCTGTCAATCATCCATGTAAAGTACACTGTCTGTCAATCATCCATGTAAAGTACACTGTCTGTCAATCATCCATGTAAAGTACACTGTCTGTCAATCATCCATGTAAAGTACACTGTCTGTCAATCATCCATGTAAAGTACACTGTCTGTCAATCATCCATGTAAAGTACACTGTCTGTCAATCATCCATGTAAAGTACACTGTCTGTCAATCATCCATGTAAAGTACACTGTCTGTCAATCATCCATGTAAAGTACACTGTCTGTCAATCATCCATGTAAAGTACACTGTCTGTCAATCATCCATGTAAAGTACACTGTCTGTCAATCATCCATGTAAAGTACACTGTCTGTCAATCATCCATGTAAAGTACACTGTCTGTCAATCATCCATGTAAAGTACACTGTCTGTCAATCATCCATGTAAAGTACACTGTCTGTCAATCATCCATGTAAAGTACACTGTCTGTCAATCATCCATGTAAAGTACACTGTCTGTCAATCATCCATGTAAAGTACAATGTCTGTCAATCATCCATGTAAAGTACAATGTCTGTCAATCATCCATGTAAAGTACAATGTTTGCAGTAGTTTAAAGGTAGGCTGAGTATCAATGGAGTTCTCATACACTATATTCTAACCATAAGTAGTTTAGAAAAAACAGTTTAACTTAAAATATCAGGTGCATGGACTAAATGCAACCCTTAATTTTGCATTACAAATCCAGTCACTGATTTTTTTTTACTTCCTTTAATATTCCCAGTATAAGTTTAAAGATTGTTCTGTCCAAAAAGACAGGTTTTAAGATTTGTCATTACCTGTTTAAGGATTTGAGGTATATTTTAAACAAATCTTGATGACTGAGGTGTTTTAAAGACCAATTGTAATGTTTTGGGCGGCCACATTTGGCTGAGAAACATTTAATTGGTTTTAATTTGGAAATATCAATTAATAAAGAACTTGATGACAAATTGCTAACTTAGTGAAAAGATATTACGTCAGTATAATGTCCCTTTCCACGTGTGATTTGATAAACTACACTGTGATGTCACTTCCTGTTATAAACTACACTGTGATGTCACTTCCTGTTCCAGGTAATGAGAATTTTGATGCAGCAAATATGACTGTGTTCTGGCAGATTCCACAGTACGCCCTTATTGGAGTCAGTGAAGTATTTACCTGTGTAGCAGGTAAGTTATAGGAAATTAGGTCACTGTGACCTATATATAACCGAAAACTGACTAATGTTTCACGATATCTTCTGATATTTAGAAGGTGTACTGTATATATTTATCTGTGCATGTATTGCCCTAGCTCACATCTCAAAATATTCTGTTTAGGAAATAAAGTCTACAGATTGCAAGCTGGATCGCCATAAAAACTATCATACACAATGAATACCATTTTCACTTTCACCGCCGGGGAACATGTTATCTAGACATATGACATTGTTTAGTAATCAAAATGAGTGTTTATTTCCATGATTCTGATTGCAACAGCAATGTTGACTCCTAGAACTCCACTAAGTACTCCATGTAGACAATATTATACAGTATCAGTTACTTCAACCAACTCTTCATGCAAACGTTGTACTCCACATAGACAATGTTATACAGTATCAGTAACTTAAACCAACTCTTCATGCAAACGTTCAATTTTAAAAACATGAGAATTTCTATAATTTTGTTTTGTTTTTATATTTAAAAAAATATCATATAGCCTGCACTTTTTATAAATTTTGTAAAACATCTATATCTTCAAAAGTGCCATTGTCTGCTTCATCAGGTAGTCTGCAGATAGTACAGCAAGCATTTTTCAACATAAAAGATCGAAAAAATTACAGTGTGCCATTTATCTCGAAAAAATACTTAAGAGTATTTACTGTAAAATATTGGCCTTAAAGCAGTGTGCTTACATTTTTCTTTCCATAAGATATAGTGGTAACTGATTTTATTATATTTGTGACAATGAAATATTGAATTAAAATTAAAATAATTTTTGATATATTTTACACTGTTACTTATCTCCCTTTACAGGTATAGACTTTGCCTACCAGATGGCGCCCCGCTCTATGAAGGGGATCATCATGGGTATTTTCCACTTATTTACTGGTATCGGAAGTTTCTTGGGGATTGGAGTCATGTACAGTTTCCAGGATGTCTGGTTTTACGGAAATGATTATGGCAACATAAATTGTCGATCATGTGACGCAACCACTGGTCATGTGACTGCACAGTGCCATTTGGACTATTATTACTTTTTTCTCTGTGGCATCCAATTGCTTGGTTTATTGATATTCATCTGTGTTGCAAAGAAACTACAACTTATGACAGATTTACACCGAGGAGCATCCAAGGTAAACGGACCAGCACCAAACGGGACACCTGGCGGCGTAGATAATATGTCTGGTTACTCCTCCATGAATTCTGCATCTGGTTCACCATCCAGGAGCAGCTATGGACGCAAGTCTGAGATACCCGTGTCAATTCAGCGACAGCGCAGCTCGGAAAACAACTCCTAGTGTCATGCCTAAACTACATGTAGCAACATGTTGAGAGTGTCGTAAGATTTCTCTAATGTCATGCTGCAGTGTCGTGTTATTGTCTAATGTCATGCTACAGTGTCATGTTATTGTCTAATGTCATGCTACAGTGCCATGTTATTGTCTAATGTCATGATACAGTGTCATGTTATTGTCTAATGTCATGCTACAGTGTCATGTTATTGTCTTAAGGTCATGCTACAGTGTCATGTTATTGTCTATTGGCATGCTACAGTGTCATGTTATTGTCTAATGTCATGCTACAGTGTCATATTATTGTCTAATGGCATGCTGCAGTGTCATGTTATTGTCTAATGGCATGGTGCAGTGTCATGTTATTGTCTAATGTCATGCTGTAGTGTCATGTTATTGTCTAATGTCATGCTGCAGTGTCATTTTATTGTCTAATGTCATGCTACAGTGTCATGTTATGGTCTAATGTCATGCTGCAGTGTCATGTTATTGTTTAATGTCATGCTGCAGTGTCATGTTATTGTCTAATATAATGCTGCAGTGTCATGTTATTGTCTAATGTCATGCTTCAGTGTCATGTTATTGTCTAATGTCATGCTACAGTGCCATGTTATTGTCTAATGTCATGCTACAGTGTCATATTATTGTCTAATGGCATGCTGCAGTGTCATGTTATTGTCTAATGGCATGCTACAGTGTCATGTTATTGTCTAATGTCATGCTGCAGTGTCATGTTATTGTTTAATGTCATGCTGCAGTGTCATGTTATTGTCTAATGTCATGTTATTGTCAAATGTCATGTGTCCATGTGCTAGCACTGAGCTGGATTGTTCAAGCATCACACGACCTGTGAATTTATCATGTTTACGCCCGTGTTATGTTGGTAGATATTAAATCAGTGTTACCTGACCTGTATTGTCCTTAATTCTAGATCTGGACCTTGTCTAATGTCATGCTACAGTGTCATATTATTGTCTAATGGCATGCTGCAGTGTCATGTTATTGTCTTATGTCATGCTGCAGTGTCATGTTATTGTCTAATATAATGCTGCAGTGTCATGTTATTGTCTAATGTCATGCTTCAGTGTCATGTTATTGTCTAATGTCATGCTACAGTGCCATGTTATTGTCTAATGTCATGCTACAGTGTCATGTTATTGTCTAATGTCATGCTGCAGTGGCATGTTATTGTCTAATGTCATGCTGCAGTGTCATTTTATTGTCTAATGTCATGCTACAGTGCCATGTTATTGTCTAATGTCATGATGCAGTGTCATGTTATTGTCTAATGTCATGCTGTAGTGTCATGTTATTGTCTAATGTCATGCTGCAGTGTCATCTTATTGTCTAATGTCATGCTACAGTGTCATGTTATTGTCTAAGGTCATGCTACAGTGTCATGTTATTGGCTAATGGCATGCTGCAGTGTCATGGTATTGTCTAATGTCATGTTATTGTCTAATGTCATGTGTCCATGTGCTAGCACTGAGCTGGATTGTTCAAGCATAACACGACCTGTGAATTTATCATGTTTACGCCCGTGTTATGTTGGTAGATATTAAATCAGTGTTACCTGACCTGTATTGTCCTTAATTCTAGATCTGGACCGAAGTATTGTCTAATGTCATGCTACAGTGTCATGTTATTGTCTAAGGTCATGCTACAGTGTTATGTTATTGTCTAATGGCATGCTGCAGTGTCATGTTAGTGTCTAATGTCATGCTGCAGTGTCATTTTAGTGTCTAATGGCATGCTGCAGTGTCATGTTATTGTCTAATGTCATGTTATTGTCTAATGTCATGTGTCCATGTGCTAGCACTGAGCTGGATTGTTCAAGCATCACACGACCTGTGAATTTATCATGTTTACGCCCGTGTTATGTTGGTAGATATTAAATCAGTGTTACCTGACCTGTATTGTCCTTAATTCTAGATCTGGACCGAAGGAAGATTGTTCCTGGTTTAACATGATCACTGATATTTGTGATAAATGTATACCATTATAAGTGTGTAGATAAATGGTTATTTGTATATAAAATACAATTTTTTGTTTGTGCTGTCTGTTAACTCATGCACCCCTTAAGTTTCATAATGAACTATTCCGTCCTTTGAATTGGAAGTGTTCAAATGTGTCTTCAGGGGTGATTTTCAAACATAAATATAGCATTGAGAAATGTTTTCTTAAAAAGAAAGCTAGATTGACCCTATGTTCATAAATCTTGCTGTATTTATATCTCTTGGGATGGGGATTTGTTAATTGCCCGTTAACAGTTATGCCCCCTTTCGCATATCTGGTTCAACTGTTTCAAGCAGCTGATCCTGAAAAGAAAACGACGGGCTCAGATCTGAACTGAGGCTGACCTCTGGAATATTCCGTACATGTACAGTGATAATTCTACATGCAAGTCCTAGGTCCTGTACCCATAGCATTTCTGAAAATACCGAAATTTAACACGGTGGGATCCATATATTTTAACCATACAATGGAAAAACACCCATACAAACTAATTGTAGGTTGATCACTAGCTACATGTAGATTAAGGGGTCCAGACGTGCCTGACCGAAACTTAAGTGCCAACTATTGCTAGTTTGCATTATTTCTTTATAAAACAAGGTCGACTCACAGGTATATTCTATGATACAGTATATAATTTAGTCGACGAGTGAAAGAAGACATATTATTTTTGATATTTTATTATTTGCCACAAAACTCAGAAACTGTGCATCTTTTAGCTCTGCCTACAGTTCGGTCCAAGTGCGTTGATTCACTGTGGAATATTTCTGCGCCACCTGAACCATTTCAATTCAGATACATTAATACAACCTTTTTCGTTTATGTCCAATATTGGAGTCAAATAGTCCCATTCGGAAAATTCTGAAATTAACTATTATGACCAAATACATACAAATCTATGGTCCTTTGTTTATTTCTGATGTCAAGATTTGGCTGGAGTAAAACTTCTTTGCTATTTTGCTTACCTTGATTTAAAATGCTGTATTTATATTTTTGGGTTGGCAAATAATCACATTCCAAAATATGTTTGTTTGTTTGTTTGTTTGATTTTGTTTAACGTCCTATTAACAGCTAAGGTCATTTAAGGACGGCCTCCCCTGGGTGCAAGATGCATGCGTGTAGTGTATGTGTGTGTATTTTGGGAGGCTGCGATATGTTCGTGTTTGTCTCCTTGTGATAGCGCGAAACTGATGCCGACTTTATAGTGCTACCTCACTGATCTCATGGTCTAATGCATTGTACAAAGTAACAAGCCTTTAATTATTTTTCATTTTATTATTTATCTTGTTTATTTTTATGATAATATTCGTCTGGAGCTTGTCTTTCTTGCCATTTTACTTATGTTCATTTAACTTGCTGTATTTTTATATCTTTCGAAGGCAAAATGTCACGTACTGAAATATGGTTCTTCTGCCCTAATACAATGTACATTGTACATACCGAGTTATGGCCCTTTGTTTATTTTTGATATAGAGATTTGTCAGGAGCAGAGCCTCCTTAACGTTTTACTGGTTGTATTTATGTACAATTCAAAAATTGTGAAAGCAAAGTATATTCCACAATGATTTGGGTCTCGTGCCCAGTTTTATACCGAGTAATAACCATTTGTTTATTTTTTATACCAAAGTTTGGCCGGAACTAATACTTCCTTGCCATTTTACCTACCATATTGTGTGTTCACTAAACTTGCCTTACTTATCATGTTGCGGAGTAGGACTGTCAGGTACTGAATTGAAGTCGCTGTGCCCCAATATGTACAGAGACTGTTTATGTTTTATACAGACTTTTTTCCAGAATTGGGTGACATAAATTGTTGCCTTTTGCAATAGTCAGTCTGTTCATAAGACTTGACAAGCCTTTGCCTTTAGCTTTTTATTCTTATGCTGGAAGTCCAACAGTCCTTACAGTTGGGGACATATTTAGGAGTTCTATAGCAATTTGTTAAAATATAGGTCACTGTGACCTGTATATTCCACTTCACTGAATTTGGTTTGAATTTGAGGTTATCATACAGTGTAATGCTCTATAATGTTAGACTTCCAACGGTCCTCAAACTACATATATATATAACAGTAATATTTTTTTTAAACATCCTTGAGCTTGTAGAAATATACATAAAACAAAACACCTAAGACTAAGTCTCAGTAGTACTTTCGCCAATCTTGGGGCTCTTCCGGCGATTCAAATTTATTTGTCACGTCATAAATAGAGTACACATACTTAAGACGTCAAAAATAATGACGTCATAAACAAAGTACACAAAATGCTGACGTCTGAAAATTGCGACATCTTAAAATGATTACAATGATTGTACTTATGTTAAATATGTCTATGAAATATATATGGAAAAGTGTTTTGTTTTATTTAAATATATATATATATATATGTGGCTATGCATTTTACTGTACATGTATAACACGAAATGTTCTTGGGTACTTCCCTTCATGGTTTGAAGCCATTTAGATCATTTCGTGGTACAAACTTTCATGGATATCCTATATTAACAAACAGTAGACATGAATATCATCCAAATTAGATTTATTTATTTTCTTTGTTCGAAAGCAACCAGGAAAACCACGAATGTTTATACACAACAAACATGTCATGTTATACAATATTATGAAGAGTACTACAAAAATGTTTGATTTGAGTCACTGTGACCTATATTTTTTGCTTCACAGACTTTGGTTAGCTCTATTTTCATCAATGAGGGAATGGGGGGGGGGACATGGGTCAGACCTCTTCACAGGGTTATAAAACTAGTGTATCAATAATGTTTTTGTCAGTGAAATTCTGAAAGGAACATTATTTTTCCTCGTTTATGTTTTGATATTATATATATAAATCTATATGATGTATTATATGACGATGCACTTTGGCTGCATTGTAGATATCATGAAATACCTGCTGTGTACTGTCTTAAATTTTGATCTTCATTCCTGAGTCGCCAATGTTGTCTTATTTTCAGTGTAACTGGTGACATAATAAATCTCTAACTGATGATGTTGATGAATTCTATATATAAATTGTGGAAGATCAATTATTATGTTAACAACATGTTATGAATTTGTTAATATTGTTTAATATATATCCAAGTAAAGATGAAATGGAACAAGAGGCGATTTGTTAAAACATGTTATCAATACAAGATATTAAAATATGATGTAACGATGAAACAATGAATATATTTTATACGATGACGGTGCTTGAGATTGTCAATGCTTTTGTAATCAGTAAAGACATCTACTTTTTTACACCCTTGTCTTGTTTGTTTTTATGATTTTAACTATGGGAGAGTGCCGCGTTTGTCATCGGTCGTCTAGCACCTTTAACTTGAAACAATTTCATCTTAGGAACCAAAGAGCATATGGTCATGACAGGTAACTGTCATAATGGCTAACAAAATTTACAAAACAAAAAGAATGACCTTGAACTATATTCAAATTAAAAGGGTCAAATTTTTCAAACGACTTCTTCTTCTGAGCAGGAATGCCAGGAGTGATGGTTTTATAGCCAGTGGCGTGCTTGCATGGAAAACTAACAAAACTGACCTTGAACTTTATTAAAGAATACAGAGGTCAGATTTCTTCAATAACTAAAATGCCTAATTTTGGGTGCAAAGTTCACATGAACAGCTGGTGAAATAATAAGTTAGAGAGTCTTTATGAGAGTAGAATTGACACATTTATTTTACGAGTAGGCTGTTAAGTGTATCTGAGTGGTATTTGAGCATCAAGAGATTTCGACAACGACACTTTCAATTGGACTCCTCTGAGTGCAGAAGGCAAACCCGTCTTGGCGGTACTGGCAACAAGCTAGGATGGGGTCATTTATATGACGACCAACGGATACATAGATATATCAGTACAGAAAGGAGGTATCCCAGGCTTATCAGCTTGTGTGGAGCGTGTCAGTGGGGAGGACACATCATCATTCTGGCAAAACCGGGAAATAGTAACGGGATGGCTTATCCGTCAATATACTGACCATGGGAACTAATCTTATCACCAAGGCGGTAAGACGGGTACCGAGAGGGCCCAGGAATCTACCAAACACTGACTCGAGCTTATGTGGAGCAAGATATGTTTTGTCTGCGTTGGAGGAGGCAGTTTAATGGACAAGAATAAAGTTCAAGGCAAGGATATTAAGTTGTATGATAATGAAGAAGGAAGAAATGATCTATAAATTCAAGTTAAAGGTTCGATGAGAAGAACCCTGTGATCGTAGATAACTCAAGTCAGTGCTTAGGATAGCATTTTGATCTTTTAATGAAAGCTACAAGCAGTATCAACAACATACAGAAGGCAATGGAGTGGCTAAGGGAGGTCGACAGTTCGAGTCTGCAAGGAAAGTTAAAGGCACAGGTCTTCTGACACTGGGCACTACTTCCGAGCCTTGTTTCTCCAGCATTAGCCTCTGCAATTGAACATAATCACTGCAACTCCCGCTGTCAGCGGTGGCGGAGGAGTTCAAGATGACACAGGCCAGACTAGTGATGAT